TCCGACCATCTCACAAGGAAGGTACCTGAGGTGTCCCCCTCCGATTTTGTTCATTTTTAAATATGTTATAGAGGACCAAAATCTAAAGCACCCGTGTTTTTTCTTTATCGGCGGATAAACACTTTTAGGGGGTGAAATAAGGCTTCAAAGTTGGCCGTGCAAGGGGGTGAGTTGGCTGTTTCATATAGAAGCACTCAACCGATTTTCATGAAACAACCGTCAAAATGTAGGGAATGAAGAATTATGAAACATGCATTTGGAATTTTTCGAAAAAATTCATTTTTAAGGGGTGNTAAATATATAGAAAATATAGGAGAAATATTTTGTGCTACTGGGGATAAGGGCCGCCCGTCCAAAGAAACACATGGAGCTAATATTATATAAATATTATAGTGATAATATTCTAAAGTAAACATTTTGAAAATATTTCAAATGTCTGGTAAATATGTACAAAATGTACGATATTCGTTAAATATATAGAAAATATAGGAGAAATATTTTGTGCTACTGGGGATAAGGGCCGCCCGTCCAAAGAAACACATGGAGCTAATATTATATAAATATTATAGTGATAATATTCTAAAGTAAACATTTTGAAAATATTTCAAATGTCTGGTAAATATGTACAAAATGTACGATATTCGTTAAATATATAGAAAATATAGGAGAAATATTTTGTGCTACTGGGGATAAGGGCCGCCCGTCCAAAGAAACACATGGAGCTAATATTATATAAATATTATAGTGATAATATTCTAAAGTAAACATTTTGAAAATATTTCAAATGTCTGGTAAATATGTACAAAATGTACGATATTCGTTAAATATATAGAAAATATAGGAGAAATATTTTGTGCTACTGGGGATAAGGGCCGCCCGTCCAAAGAAACACATGGAGCTAATATTATATAAATATTATAGTGATAATATTCTAAAGTAAACATTTTGAAAATATTTCAAATGTCTGGTAAATATGTACAAAATGTACGATATTCGTTAAATATATAGAAAATATAGGAGAAATATTTTGTGCTACTAGGGATATGGGCCGCCCGTCCAAAGAAACACATGGAGCTAATATTATATAAATATTATAGGGATAATATTCCAAAGTAAACGTTTTGGAAATATTTCAAATGTCTGCTAAATATTTACAGAATGTGCGATATTCGTTAAATATATAGAAAATATGGGACCAATATTTTGTGGTACTAGGGGTCTTCTGAGGATGCTATGTTTCCAACGGGTATTTTTAACAGGGTACGGTTCCCCCTTCGCCATTCGTCAATTCGCCAAGTACCGAGATTCGAGTCTATTTGCAGATCGACGGGTGGGACCAGGATTAGTCACGGCCATCTTATTTCGATTTGATTTCTGTGAAGATCGATGGACCTTACTAGATTCTGAATTCTATAGCGCGTTATTCTGGTCGCGGGAGAACCTCTCATTGATTATGACAATTAGAGGAGAGAAAATTCAGTCTGTCGGTGTCTGGACTGCACCAAAAGGTCTTTCCAGATTTATTAAATGCATCGAAAGAATCTCAGTTCATATGACCCTAGTCCCTGGGATCCTACTCTCGAGTTCATATCATTAAGATGAAGTGAAACCCCCTTCAAATCAGTCGATTCGAATACAACACTTCTTTTTAAGGGTATTAGACCAAACTGTCCGAAACTTTGACACGTCACTCCTGATCATGTAAGAATTGTCTTGACACATTCAAAATTTGGATTTTTCAAAACAATTTTTCAACAGCCCAGACCAGAACCAAAATGGCGTCGAGCTCTCGTATTTCGATCAGTATACAATTATCGAAGGCTCTGATATGAGAATCGAAAGGGTTAGGACAATTTTACGACAATTTTGAACACTCTGGTAATCGATAAACTCGCATTTGAACGGGATAAAGGCAAAAAAAGTGTTGTATGCGCTTCTATGTTAAAACGATGGGAATACGACGTCTCGGAGTGAAAATTTAATTGACCTGGAAATCACAGATGGCGCAGGGGGTCCCTCTGCAGTCTATTAGGGCCCCAGAAAGCATGAATCCGGAGGATTTCTGGAGTTTTACTTAGATTTCTTTATAATTTTAATATACGATAACGACAGGTGGAGTATGCCATTTGGTACAATACCCAATATAATTCGATACAGCTGTCAATAGAAAAACGAACGTCGGCAACGTAGGCATTTAGAAAAATCTTCTATATCGACGTCGATCAAGTTCCTCGACGTGTTTCACTTCACCTTAAGGTGAAATGAAACTTCCCTCAAATCAGTTGATTCGAATAAGACACTTTTTTTTTAAGGGTATTGGATACAACTGTCTGAAACTTTGACAAATGACTCGTGAGCATCTAGGAATTATCCGGACACTTTCAAAATTTGGATTTTTGGAGAAAGTGTTTTAACTCAGCCCAGACCAGAAACAAATTGACGTCGAGCTCTCATATTTCGATGGATATCCAATTATTGAAGGCTCTGATATGAGAAACGAAAGGGTTAGGACAATTTTACGACAATTTGGAACACTCTGGTAATCGATAAACTCGTATTTGAACGGGATAAAGGCAAAAAAAGTGTTTTATGCGCGTCTATGCTAAAACGATGGGAATACGAGGTCTCGGAGTGAAAATTTAATTGACCTGGAAATCACAGATGGCGCAGGGGGTCCCTCTGCAGTCAAATAGGGCCTTAGAAACTATGAATCCAGGGGATTTCTGGAGTTCTGCTTCGATTCTTCATAATTATTGTACGAAAACTACAGATGGAGTATGCCATTTAGAACAATATTCAATATAATTCGACACGGCTGTCAGTATATAAAGGAACGTCGGCAAAGTAGGTATTTAGAAAAACAAATTTTACCGATATCGATCAAGTTCCTCGACGTCTTTTACTTCGCCTTAACTTTTACACACAAAATTGACATTTTCGTGTACGACTTTCAAACGTTGTTCAATAACGCACCTTCGCATCAATAAAAAATCTTTCGTGCCAATCTATTCATATGTGAAAAAATTCCGTTTAAACTTGGTAATTGGGTCGCAGAGATCTTATTCTGGAGTTCGTGCCATTAAATTTCGTATGCATAATTGACAGTTTCGTATATGACTTTCAAACATTAACCAACGACGCGACTTCGCACAATAAAAAATTGTCCATGCGAATCTATTCGTATGCGAAAAAAATCCGTATAACCTTTCGAACGCGAAATTAACAGTTTCATATACGACTTCCCAACGTAGACCAATCGCGCGCTTCCTCAACAATAAGAATCTTTCAGACAAATGTATTCATATGCAAAAAAAAATCCGTTTAAACTCGCTAATCGAGTTCCTGGGACCCTATTCTCGAGTTCATCCCATTAATTTTCGCACGCGAAATTGACAGTTTCATATACGACTTCTCAATGCTGACCAATCGCGCGCTTTCTCAACAATTCGAATCTTTCAGGCAAATGTATTCATATGCGAAAAGAAAGTTCGTTTATACTCGATAATCGAGTCCCTGGGACCCTATTATTGAATTCACCCCATTAACTTTCGCACGCGAAATTGACAGTTTCATATACGACTTCCCAACGTAGACCAATCGCGCGGCTTCGCAACAATAAAAAGTTTTTCATGCTGATCTATTCATATGCGAAAAAAAATCCGTTTAAACTCGATAATCGGGTCACAGAGATCTTATTCTCGAGTTAATACCATTAACTTTCGCGTGCAAAATTGACAGTTTCGCATATGACTTTTAAACCTTGACCAATGACGCGACTTCGCAACAATAAGAGTTTTTCATGCTAATCTATTCATATGCGAAAAAAATCCGTTTAAACTCGATAATCGGGTCACAGAGATCTTATTCTCGATAATACCATTAACTTTGGCGTGCAAAATTGCCAGTTTCATATATGACATTCAAACATTGACCAATGACTAGTCTTCGCAACAATAAGAGTCTTTCATTCGAATCTATTGATATGCGAAAAAAAATCCGTTTAAACTCGATAATCGGATCAGAGAGATCTTATTTTCGAGTCAATACCATTAACTTTCGCGTGCAAAATTGCCAGTTTCATATATGACTTTCAAACATTGACCAATGACTAGTCTTCGCAACAATAAGAGTCTTTCATGCTAATCTATTCATACGCGAAAAAAATCCGTTTAAATTCGATAATCGGGTCACAGAGATCTTATTCTCGATAATACCATTAACTTTGGCGTGCAAAATTGCCAGTTTCATATATGACATTCAAACATTGACCAATGACTAGTCTTCGCAACAATAAGAGTCTTTCATTCGAATCTATTGATATGCGAAAAAAAATCCGTTTAAACTCGATAATCGGTTCGGAGAGATCTTATTTTCGAGTCAATACCATTAACTTTCGCGTGCAAAATTGCCAGTTTCATATATGACATTCAAACATTGACCAATGACTAGTCTTCGCAACAATAAGAGTCTTTCATTCGAATCTATTCATATGCGAATAAATTCCGCTTAAACTCGATAATCGGGTCACAGGGATCTTATTCTCGGGTTAATACCATTAACTTTCGCGTGCAAAATTGCCAGTTTCATATATGACTTTCAAATATTGACCAATGACTAGTCTTCGCAACAATAAGAGCCTTTCACGCGAATCTATTCATATGCGAAAAAAAATCTGTTTAAACTCGATAATTGGATCAGAGGGATCTTATTCTCGAATTAATACTATTAACTTTCGTGTGCAAAATTGCCAGTTTCATATATGACATTCAAACATTGACCAATAGTCATTGGGACTAGTCTTCGCGACAATAAGAGTCTTTCATTCGAATCTATTCATACGCGAAAGAAAATCCTGGCCGAAGTCCCTAGAGTCACAGCCTTCGGAGGTCGGCGAGTGGTGTGGAAGTGAAGACACCTCCAAGAGAGATCGCCAAGAGTCCCCGAGAGAAAGAGAGAGACCGAGATACCCGAAGAGTGGCCCCGCGAAACCGTGGTTACAGAAGCAGGAGACATTCCCGTGGGAGAAGGTTCCCTTGGTCCCTCGGCCGTCGTTGGTCCCGGAGCCGTTCACGGTCTGGGGTCGCAAAAAACTGGACCCGCAGAAGGAGTTCTACCAATACGCGACGATCCGCGAAAAAGAAGGCAGCGTCCGCGGGAAGGACTTGGCGAAGAAGAACGACCACTCTAGACAGCTGATCGATGGCGGCGCCGTGGACAAGGTGGGCCTGGACGCGGCTGCCGAATTAGCGACCAGAGGACACGTCTTCGAGAAAGGAGTCCTGGCAAGGCCCCCTGGGAAACAAAGGCACGCCGTGACGCCAGCCACCGGACGCACCAAGATCCTGATGGCGCTGCAGACGCCATCTTGGTACCGCTTCTGAGCGGCGACCTCCACCTGGCGACCTCCTCCAAGAAAACCGCCCCGCAACCTGCACCGCCAGTTTTTATACAAATACAAGCCGAACTCCTGCTCCACCCTGGTGGTTGATTACTTTATACATAACGCTCCCGAAGAGAAATATGAAAAACACCGAACATTTGCGTACCTCTATCCAGCACGCGCTAAGTAGTCCAGTCGCTTCCGCAGATCCATACACGCGTAGATATGGACTGTTAACCCAATTTCGGAATTAGGAAGAGGAAGAAGAGGGTGGAGGGCAACTTTTCTCTTTCGCTTAAGGGGATGTGAAAGTGCCATCCTAAAGCTCAATCGTTCGGGAAACTTTTCTATGAACTGGGTGTACCAAATTCTTTCACACTTTACAACGTGAACGTGGAGGCTATAAGGAACGTCTTGACCCCCGTGATATTTCATTTTTTATAAACAATTTTTAAAATACCTATAAACAAATTTAAGAATCTCCGTGAAATTTCATGGGTGTCAGGACACCTTCCTTGTCGCCTCCATGTTCACGTTATTAAGTTGGAAGCGATTCGGAGGCTATAAGGAACGTCTTGACCCCCGTGATATTTCATTTTTTATAAACAATTTTTACAATACCTATAAACAAATTTAAGAAAAAATTGAAATTTCATGGGTGTCAGGACCTTCCTTATCGCCTCCATGTTCACGTTATTAAGTTTGAAGCAATTCGGGAGGCGATTCGGAGGCTATAAGGAACGTCTTGACCCCCGTGAAATTTCATTTTTTATAAACAATTTTTTAAATACCTATAAACAAATTTAAGAATCTCCGTGAAATTTCATGGGTGTCAGGACCTTCTTTATCGCCTCCATGTTCACGTTATTAAGTTGGAAGCAATTCGGGAGGCGATTCGGAGGCTATAAGGAACGTCTTGACCCCCGTGATATTTCATTTTTTATAAACAATTTTTACAATACCTATAAACAAATTTAAGAAAAATTTGAAATTTCATGGGTGTCAGGACCTTCTTTATCGCCTCCATGTTCACATTATTAAGTTGGAAGCGATTCGGTACACCAGTTCAGAGAAAAGTTTCATAAACGAGACCTCTTTTACGAGACGCCACTTTCACATCACCTTAACGCTCGGTTATTTTGTCCCCACTTTGTTCTATTAATTTTGGGCGTTAAGGACGTTTTTCGAAGACGTGATTTTTTTTCTAAATGCACGGCCTTAATTCAATTAATTTACTACATGAATATGTTAATCGTTTTTCCAGAAAAGTGCAATCAACCCCATGTGCATTTAATGATTTATTACGAAGATGTACATTAAAGGTTAATAATCATGGGCCTTGCGTGTTATAAATGTTAGGAAACATATTTTACAATTGTTTGCAGCAGCGAGAGAAATAGTATTAAATTGTTAAACAGGTTAAATATTTGATAACTGTATTGATGAGCAAAGTCGGTCGAAAACGTTCTTCACTAAACAATATTTTATCAGAAAGAGAAAAAGTTACCCTAAATGCTTTTCTTTCCGTTTTTAATTACGATATGAATTTCTTCTGTTGGGTTAGCAGTCCATATCTATGTCGTAGCCAAATTGTAAAATCTGGCGTTTCTTAAAACGTCTAATCGTTTTATGCAACATTGCTACATAGTCAAATCTTCGTTCATTTAACTTTATTTTACAATCCGACTAGTAATTTTGTAAAACGACCAACAACACCTAGCCGCATTGTCAAATTCGTTAAATTACCGCCTGTTTTCCGGGGTAAATCATTTCAGCCATTTTATAAATAATGTTTCGAAGAACAATGTTTAATAAATAACGGTGGGGTTTAGGATAGCACTTTTGTTCGCGTAATCGAAGGTACGCACATAAATAGAACAAATATATAGATGAATATGCACTTTACTCCAAGTAAGTTAAATTAGATTAACCCTAGTAGCATAGAATAATTTCTAAATATTTGTTTGTAATCTTTGCTACATATCTCAAGCGACAGATTTTTTAAGATTTCTCGTAGATTTCATTCTAAGATATCTGAAATATTTGTTGAAAATCTCAATGACATATTTAGTTTCAATTATTTATAAACATGTATAGAAATTATATTTTTTAATTTATGAACATATAATAAAAATACATTTCTTTCACTTCACGACTATTATCCGACACTTTATTTGGTATCAAAAAACACAAGAAATTTTTCTAATATTTTCGTTCCGCTATTTCATTATGGGAGCAAAACATATGATTTCGATTTTAAATATTTTCAAAACGTTTATAATGTATTCGGCAGATAATATTTAAACAATACTTCTATTAAAATGAAACGAAATGTTCTGTATATCTGGAAGAAAAATATTACGAAAACACATGGAGCTAATATTATATAAATATTATAGGGATAATATCCTAAAGTAAGCGTTTTGTAATTATTTGAAATATCTGTTGAATATGTACAAAATGTACGATATTCGTTAAATATACAGAAAATATAGGACAAATATTTTGTGCTACTAGGGAAGTTACAGAGAAATCCGCTTTTTACAAAATTACCGAAATTATTCAGCCGGAATGTAAACCAGGTGTTAATTTAAGGAGTCCAACAATGCAACGGAGTCTTCTAAGTCGTTTTAAAAAACGCTTTTCACAAAATTACCGAAATTATTCAGCCGGAATGTAAACCAGGCGTTCATTTAAGGTGAAGTGAAACACGTCGAGGAACTTGATCGACGTCGATAGAGAAGATTTTTCTAAATCCCTACGTTGCCGACGTTCGTTTTTATATTGACAGCTGAGTCGAATTATGTTGGGTATTGTATCAAATGGCATACTCCACCTGTAGTTTTCGTACAATAATTATAAAGAAATCGAAGTTAAACTCCAGAAATCCTTCGGATTCATGCTTTCTGGGGCCCTTATTGACTGCAGAGGGACCCCCTGCGCCATCTGTGATTTCCAGGTCAACTAAATTTTCACTCCGCGACGTCGTATTACCATCATTTTGGCATAGAAGCGCATACAACACTTTTTTTGCCTTTATCCCGTTCAAATGCGAGTTTATCGATTACCAGAGTGTTCCAAATTGTCGTAAAATTGTCCTAACCCTTTCGATTCTCATATCAGAGCCTTCGATAATTGTATACTGATCGAAATACGAGAGCTCGACGCCATTTTGGTTCTCGTCTGGGCTGAGTTGAAAAATTGTTTTGAAAAATCCAAATTTTGAATGTGTCAGGACAATTCTTAGATGATCAGGAGTGATGTGTTAAAGTTTCGGACAGTTTGTTCTAATACCCTTAAAATAAGTGTTGTATTCGAATCGACTGATCTGAGGGAGGCTTTCACTTCACCTTAAGGAGTCCAACAATGCAACGGAGTCTTCTAGGTCGTTCTAAAAAACACTTTTCATAAAATTTCCGGAATGTAAACCAGGCGTTAATATAAGAAGTCCAACAATGCAACAGGGTCTTCTATGTCGTTTAAAAAAATGCCTAGAGGCATTACAAAACGAATAGCCGGATTGAAAAGTAAAGCCAAGTTACCAAAGATTTGTCCATCCGAATTTTACAATCAGATTATACTTACACGTGGGTAAATAAGGGCTTCATCACTTTGCCAACAGAATCGTTAACCGAAACCGCCGGAGCTTTCTGCGCTTTGATCCCTGGGTACCATTACACCCTGAAGAGCGGTTATTACCTCGCTGTCCGTTTTCTCGTTTTCCCCTTTTTCACACTTCTCGACTAGCATCTAGGACGCTTGTTCCACGTTCCGCCTGTGTAGACGAGATTGCCAATAAAGGGATGAAGTTTCGCAAGGATCGGCTCCTTCCTCGTTCTCTAGAGCCCGAGCTTCCTCTCCAGGTCGCGTCTTGGGTTCTCGTCCTCGTAGACGCGATCCCACCTAAGAGACACCGAGTGGCATTAAAACCGTCGTATAATCGTAGGTACACGCACCTAAACCGTGCATGTACGTATCTTGGCAAGTGCCTCCGTCGTTGCTCAACGCTGGGACGGACCGTCCTGAATATCTCGGCAAGGAGACATTAATAAATACCTACCACTCCGCGCGTTTATAATTGGCCTGCACGTTGTGTGTCTACAGACGAACGCATATTTCCCGGTAAAAAGCCGCGACCGAGTTGCCGATCCCACCGAATGAGATTCGGCTCTGCAAATCGTGTCTAGATATGACTAACCCCCGACCTACCTCACTTCCGGTCTGCAGAATCGCCCCGCGATACGTCGATCGACGGAAGGTCATCATCACCTGCGATGACGATGTTCTAATTAGAGAGCCAATGAAATTTCTTAAACCGAGATGTCCCCAGAAACGCCCGTTTTGTTCTCCTTCGCCCTAGCTTTCTCTCTTTTCGTGGATATTTACCTCCCTCTCTCTCTCTGACTCGCTACGTTCCTTCAGTATTTAGATATAAATGTAGATAGAACAAGGTAGTACAGACAGCAAGCACGCAGCGTTTTATTTCATCCTATGAAGCATTTAAGATGATATGAAAGGCGCTGAGAAATTTGAGGCTGGTTAAATGAAATTCATCTGTACCATTTTTGGTGGTAATATCATTTTGAATACTCAAGTAGTAACATAAATTGGCGCGGCCCGTTACCGATGTTTATATTTATTGTTAGTCTTTTAGAGTCCACGTTGAGAATTATACGTAATTAAACTTTTCATATGGCGTTTTAGTAAAGTAACGATGAAGAGATTGATGTAAAAATGTCGAAATCCCGGGAATTCAGTATTCTAACGACTGTTTAGGACCAACGTCGCCATCTGTGACGTTTAGCTGCAACTAAATTATTCTCTAGACACGTGTTACCTACAGGACAAGCCAGTATTCTCTTGCAATCGATGTAATGAAACTTTTCATATGGCATTTTAGTAAAGTAACGATGAAGAGATTGATGTAAAAATGTCGAAATCCCGGGAATTCAGTATTCTAACGACTGTTTAGGACCAACGTCGCCATCTGTGACGTTTAGCTGCAACTAAATTATTTTCTAAAGACACGTGTTACCCACGGGACAAGCCAGTATTCTCTTGCAATCGATGGCAAAAATATTTTCCATATTTTCCCGTCTGACTCTGTAATATTCCATTTCTACGGTATTCCAAATTGTTCGAGCTAGGTTCTGAAACTCTTCATTTTCGAGATCTAAGTCTCCAAGAAACGTGAAACATCGAAAACGTGCCCGGACCACGCCATGTTGGTTCTAGTCCGTGATAAATAAATACAATTTTTATGGAAAATGAAATTTCATGAGTTTTGGGACCTACTTTAGGGCCTCCGTGTTCACGTGGTGAAATTTGAAACG